GTTTTAAATATGACATGTTTTAATCTGGTCCATATTATATAACATCCATTTAGTCCTTTATAGTTATTCTTTTTTATCTTATGCAGATTTTTAATGCTTTATTATTCTCATGGCATACAGACTTCTTTTTCTGTCCCATATTTGTATAATGGGAACTGATTGTTGCCCCAGAGGGGAAGCCTTTTCTGCTGCACTTCTATTAGTGCTAGCAGAAGAGGGCTCCCCTCGATCGGATTAGATCCGAAACCGGAAGTGATGTCATGCGTTCCAAGGTGGAACGCAAGAAGCCCACTTGATTGGATAAGACCGGAAACCGGAAGTGACGCTATGCGTTCCAAGGTGGAACGCAGGAAGTCTAAGGGCCGAAAACCGGAAGTAACATGTGAATTTCCCCGCGAATTTGAAAATTGGCATGATATATAAACCATGAAGATTACAACACATCTATATCCCTGAGGAAGTCACCATAGTGACGAAACGCGTTGGATACTACTTTTGGACTTTTTATGCTAATATACAGCTGTTATTATAGTCCATTTGTTATTTTTATTTATTTTATTTTATATTTTTTTAATTTTGTGTACCTCCATTTTGGGATCTCTCTCTACTTTCACCTGGAGACCCGGCCATTACTTCATTATGGAGATATGCTGTCTTACTTCTGATTTCTTCTGAAGGAAAAAGGGATATTTTATTCCTGAGCTGAAGAAAAAGTGATATTGTCAGTCCTCGCCATATATATTCGGTCTCCAATGTGGAAAGTACCCCTGACAGGATGACAGGCGTGATTACTACTCCCTTCTTGTAAGTTTTCTACCATGTGCAAATCCAATTTTGCCTAACTTACTTCACTATATTTTGTATTTTGCTATTTTATAGATTCCACGTTCATTTTCAGCCATATTCAGGTTGTATTGTTCTCAACCACCCTCTATTTGTATATATCACCTTTGGGTTTTTATATATACGTCCTTGTGTCTATTCTGCTCTGTGTCAGTGTGTATCAGGGGCTCTGAGGACGGGTGTCAATCCATATCTGCCAAGTGACCCTATGTAGGGGGAACAGTCTCTATTCTGCTCTCTGTCAGTGTGTATCATGGTCTCTGAGGACAGGTGTCAATCCATATCTGCCAAGTGACCCTATGTAGGAGGAACAGTCCCTATTTCTGCTCTGTGTCATTGTGTATCAGGGATCCTTAGGACAGGTGTCAATCCATATCTGCCAAGTGACCCTATGTAGGGGGAACAGTCCCTATTCTGCCCTGTGTCAGTGTGTATCAGGGTCTCTGAGGACAGGTGTCAATCCATATCTGCCAAGTGACCCTATGTAGGGGGAACAGTCTCTATTCTGCTCTGTGTCAGTGTGTATCAGGGATCCTGAGGATAGGTGTCAATCCATATCTGCCAAGTGACGCTATGTAGGGGGAACAGTCCCTATTCTGCCCTGTGTCAGTGTGTATCAGGGTCTCTGAGGACAGGTGTGAATCCATATGGTGTCAATCCATAGGTGTCAATCCATATCCATTGTGATTTAGGAATGTTAGGTGATTTATGCCCTTTATGGATTAAGACCAGACTCTGCATCAACTGTGTAATTTTCCATGGGAGTTTTGCCATGGATCCCCCTCCGGCATGCCACAGTCCAGGTGTTAGTCCCCTTGAAACAACCTTTCCATCACTATTGTGGCCAGAAAGAATCCCTGTGTGTTTTAAAATTCGCCTGCCCATTGAAGTCTATGGCGGTTCGCCCGGTTCGCCGGTTCGCGAACATTTGCGGAAGTTCGTGTTCGCTGTTCGCGAACCGAAAATTTCAGGTTTGCGACATCACTATTTATTATTGATACGTAACTGTTTAGATGCATTTATCACTAAGACATACATAGGTCTGTAGAGAACAACATACGAAAGAAATGGGAACAAAATTTGTCCCTAAGAGACTGTTGAAATTTGAGAAAAAGTTTTTTTTTTTTCATATTATTATTTGACGTCAGGTTTAAAATAGGAAAACTCTCAGGTTTAAAAAAAAAAAAAGGTTGCCAATATAGAAGGCTCAAATTCTACTGATCTTTTTAAAGCTATGATCTAGCGATGTTATACGCACAAACAATACCTACAAATCTTTCTAAATTAAGCAATTTAATTAGCTCTCGATTAATAATCAGCATTAATGATATCTGATATTGTAAAAAAAAAATAGTGCAAAAAATCTGGCCTCCATGCACCCCTGAACTTGCACAAAAATTCTGAAAACGTCAAGGTTACAGTCGAATGTCAATGTCAATTAGGTTCAAATAATTTACTCCATAGAGGCTAACTGCAGCATGTGTGAACATGCAAGAATATTAGAAGATTTGAATTTGTTGCATGATTTATTTAATTTTCTTATTTTTCACGAAAGGTAAAGAGAGCATAATATTAAAAAAAATATGCAAATCAAATGCCAAGAAATCTATATATGTGTTACCAGAAAAGTTATAGAAATAGTTATTTACTGTATATTATTTGGCACGGTTAGTTTTCAACAAATCTTTAAAACGTAACTCAGTATAACACAAATTTAAGCCTGTAGTGTTAATGGAAGGGAAGTAAACAGATTAAATAAATTAAAAGTAGGGCTTATTCACTAGACACCAAATGGTAGTGAATTGAAAACAGAACTGCAAAAAGTTGCAAAAAATTCTGATTTGGAAAGAAGAATTCGAGGAATGCTTTGTGATTTGGACCCTTTTTCAGTGTGACATTCAGTGGACACAAAATGACTTAAAATATGTAAGATTAAGTTCCGTTATTATTTAGCACAAAATAACACGAGTACACAAATGCAAAGAGACAATTTCTTAGGTGACACAGTTCCAAGTTGACTCAAAAACAGCTACTGCTATAATATAGTTTTGGAGGACAAACGTCGAGAAGAAGCTCCAAGGCAAATAGTGAAACATTTATACAAGTTCAGACAAAGTCACCTGTCCAGGAATTAAGGGTAAACGGATATCAACCTTGGACAATTATAGTTGTAAAAAAGGCAGCTCTTCTCGCCAAATTGATTTTAACTATATGTTTAGTCTCTTTATGGATTTTGTCTTATATATAATATATTTATTAAGTGCACTCAATCATCACTCCTACTTATAATCTCATCCATTCTACCGTGATAAAATGTAGAACAATTGGAATTATGTGCCATAAGCCACCAGTGGTCCATAGGACTTACAGTGAGTAGTAAAACCACTTTATATAGAATGACTAATTGCATACCAATGTACAATTGGTACATTAGTACACTTATGCAGTCAAGTTAAAGAAACACTACAAGACTAATACCTACTCTAGCGCGCTGGTTATGGTTCCAGGAGTGCCCTGGCTCCCTCCCATAGTGTCAGGATTACAGAATGATCCAGCACGTAGAATTGATGGGACTGATAGGTAACGTATACCGGACCTTAGAATGGCCGGACTAACGTACCAAAGAATAGTCAGGAATAGCCGAGGTCAAGGGAAACAGAAAGAGACACAACGATAAGGAAAAGCCAGGAGTCAGGGATGCCAGAAAACAGGGAAGTCAAAAACAAAGCCAAAGTCAAATAACCAGAAGGGAACCCACTCTCGGACAACCACAAGGGAAACCACGACAGGGCACTGAGCAGGATGAGAACTGGGCCTAAATACCCCTCCTCTAGATCTGATAGACTGTGACCCCAAAGTCAGTTGCCAGGTTCCCATTTGCATAATTGCTGCTCAGCATTAACCCTTCTGTGGATTTGGTTGCTGCTCGGCACAGCTTTTCCTGTGTGGACAGTAAATGTCATTAACCACATTTTTATAAGCGGATGAATACGTGACACATAGTTAGTCATCAAATGGCTTACAAATGTTTTGACAACCTTCCTGGTGTCTGCCAGGCACCTGCCACCATCTTCTGTACTGCCAAAAGCTCTTGCACTGAAGTAAGCCTGGCCGTGCAGGTCCATGCTCATTGTCTGAAGGCACTCAGCTGGCCAATGAGCCATCCCTGCCTTACATTGGTAAGCTTAATGGAGTTAACGGAATCTCCAGGCAAGGGAAGTGGCAACCTGATCCAGATGTACCTCAGATACGTTTTCAAACCATTTTAAAACCGTTTCTTCCTGGCATCGTAATCACCATAGTGGGCTGGAGTGGTGATGGGGCCAGCCTTTAGGGTGTGTGAGCTGTTGCGGCCGCACAGAGCACTATAGTAACAGGGGCGCTGGACGGCTGACACAGATCGCAGTCGGTCACTCACAGTGTGGCCCAAGTTAAGTGTTTAAAATGCAGAGCAAGTCAAGTGCATAGTACTGCTGTGTACTTGACTTGCAAATTATAAGGGGAGAGCAGCAGCCGGAATTCTACTTGTGGATGAAGAACAGGTCCGGAGCATGGAGGAGAGGCGCACGGAGTAGCAACCTTTAATGAGAATTCTTGTTGCTTTTTTTTTTTTTTTACCCAATAGATTGTGTTTTATTGAAGGGGGTGGGGGACTGGTGATGGGGAGCAGGAGATTGAAAAGGGGGCAGGGGATTTGATGAAGGGGTGCAGGGGACTGATGAAGATGGGCAGAGAAATGGTGAAGGGGGCCAGGGAATTTAATGAAGGGAATAGCAGGGGTCTGTGATAAAAGGGGGCAGGAGATTGGTGACGGGGCAGGAGACTGGTGAAGGGGGCAGGGTTTTGTCGAAGGCGTGGAGGCGGCAGATTGTAAATGTGCTGCCTCCAAACAGAGACGGCAAGAATGGGGGGGTCACCACAAGAATGACTTGCACAGGGCGTCCGAACACCTAAGACTCAGAGTAATAGTACTTGAAGTAAAGTACCTGGGTAATAGTACTTGAAGTTAAGGAAAAGTCAAATGAGAAATTACATACACCTTGTTTGTTTAATGACATATTTTTATAGGTGCCAGGTAGTGATGTCCCGAACGGTTCGCGAACGGTTCGCCGCGGACTCATCATTAAGTAAACTTTGACCCTTTACCTCACAGTCAGCAGACACATTCCAGCCAATCAGCAGCAGACCCTCCCTCCCAGACCCTCCCACCTCCTGGACAGCTCACAAAGAATGCAGCTTCACAATGGATGCTGTCCAGGAGGTGGGAGGGTCTGGGAGGGAGGGTCTGCTGCTGTTTGGCTGGAATGTGTCTGCTGACTGTGAGATACAGGGTCAAAGTTTACTCAATGATGAACCGTTTGTGGCGAACCGTTCGCGAACCGTTCGGTGAACAGTTCGGAACATCACTAGTGCCAGGTAGTTTCTTGAGATTTTTCCAAATTTCTCAGATAAATCTAAAGGATGCTCTATTTCTGCTTCCTGTAAGCTGGTTCTATGGTCATCCCCTTAGTTTCAATTGCAAGAGTGACTGCACGTTAAAGTGTAGTAAACATGAAATGTTGGCAATTTGTAGAGTGGCCCGTGTAATATACACATCTGCAATAAAAATAAATAAAGATGATAGATAATGTCTGCCCTGTATGATACCTTTGAATTGGAAGTTTGTGGCGGTTAATGGGACATATTAGGCACCAAAACAAATGTAGCTTAATGAAGCAGTTTTGGTGTATAGATCAAGCCCCTGCAGTCTCACTGCTCAATCCTCTGCCATTTAGGAGTTAAATCCCTTTTGTTTCTGTTTATGCAGCCCTAGCCACACCTCCCCTGGCCCTGCGTACACCGCAAGGCCTTCATCTGCCCACACTAAATCGCGCTATGAAATTCTAGCGCATACCCCTTTGAAGTATTAACTTTTGTCCAAATTTGGGACTGGAATTCAAGCTATACATCCAGACATCAGGAAGACTAAGGCTAAGTTGGCCCCCTTGTCCCAAAGTTCCTGGACATTCTTTCCCTCTAGACACACTGTCTGTCTGTGGTGTTGTCTAATGTCTGAGGTGGCTTGGACTGGGCCAACCTCATGCAAGAAACCCAATACTCCTCAGTGGGATCAGGAGCTGAATTACGGGGGGGCTCCCTCAGTATGGTAGCAGTGGGCATCGGCTCTGTGCACAGGTTGTGGGCCGGGGTGAATCCATGATGTGCGGTTCCTGTTCTGGTTCTGGGTGCACTTTCTCTGGACGTGCCCCGGTTGCTGACACTGGTGGCACTGAATGTTGCTGCGAGGTTGAAAGCGGGGGGGTGCAGGGTTGACCATACCTCCATTGCGTTGTTGTTTTCTTTCAAAATTAAGGAAAAATACATTGTAACACTGATATCTGTCAGGAAACCCTGAATAACCCTTCACATGTATATATTTGTTAAAAGCAGACAACCTAAGGTATTAAACTTGGGTATTTTGACTCTTTTCATGCAACCATTTTACCACCAATCTATGGCAAACCTAAAAATAATAATAATAATAATAATAATAAGGGATTTTTTTGACACACATAGCATGTACACACAATACATGTACTGAGAACTTTAAGGGTTACTGCCAAAGAACACCCCAATATGTGTTTAGCAACATCTCCTGAGTAAAGTGATACCACCCATGTATAGGTGTGTTGGGCTCTTTGGGGGCTAAAAGACCTTATTTGGAGGGTGCACATTCCAGTTTTCCAGCTTGGAATTTTCACAGCTGGTCAACATGCACCCATGTCCTATTTGGGACATTATTGAAGCCGGCCAATGTAATTTAGCCCCATCAAACCATATATTTTTGAAACGTACACACCCTAGGGTATTTCAAATGGTGGTATTTTATTTTTTTTAAATTTGTATTTTATTGTTTTTCACAACTGTTAAACAATCGGGTGGGATGGGGGGGTACAGAAAGAAAGAGGGGGTGGGGGGGTAGGGGAGTAGTCACAATTCCATTCATTGTTACAATTGTCCGCAAGGTAGTACAGTATTATACAATACATTGGGTTACTATACAATGGATTACATCTTCCCACTTAGTTACAGTACCCAGTTATACAGCTCGTGGCATGTGGACCCCTGTCTGCCTTGGATCTTGCGATACTCATATTCGGCAGTATGGTGGGTTCCTTAGTTTCCTATCACATAGGTGGTGTTTCCATATCTCACCTCTGTTGCCTCCACATATTCAATCTCTTTCTATTTCCCTTTACCTCCAGTCCCACCCAGGTTCCCTCTGACTAGCGGTATTGTTCCCGTCTTGTGTTTGTGTTTTCTAATCTCGGTTGTCACCTCTCCAGTTACACCACCGTTCCCACGTTCCCTGGTGTTGTTTTTTTTCTGGGTATGCCTTTATAAACCATGTTTCGTAGATTAATTGCTTATCTATGTCTTGAACAAGGGTGGGAATCGTGGGGGGTTGTGTGTTTTTCCAAGCTCTTATTATCAGTTTTTGTGCGGTTAGTAAGATATGGCATATTAGTTTTCTTAACAGTGTGGGTATATCATTGGGGAGATCCAGTAATAGGAAGGTTGTGGGTTCAATTGGTGATGAGTTTATGTACCTCCTTCCAGTACCTAACTAGGCGAGGGCAGCACCACCAGATGCAAATGACTGACCACCCCCCACCCCTTGTTTGCATCTCCAACATGACGGGGTATAATTGGGTATAATTTGTGTAACCGGGTTGGTACCATGTACCACCTATACATTGTTTTCTGGTGCTGTTCTATAAGTGGAGCACATTTAATCAATTTTCTCATAGAGGAGACAATGCTTTTCCACCGGTTTTCGGTGATTGTGGTCTGTAGGTCTAAGTTCCAATTATCTGCCTGTTTTGAACTATGAAAGGGTTGGTAGACTAGGAGGTGTTTGTAGTATTCGGATAGTTGCTTGAATTTTGGTGGGTGTTTTCCCGCTATTCCAATTTGTTCCCAATTTGTGAGAGTATCTTTTGACTGTTATCTGCCCTGTCCTTGTTCTTACGGTTTAAGAAGGATTTGAGTTGGACGTATGAAAATTGTGATGTGTTTGGGAGGTCATATGTGGAACGGAGTTTTGAGAAATCCATTAGTTTGACTGTTTCAAAGATATGTGACAGGTGTGTGGCCCCCTTTTCCTTCCACGGCATAGCGTGGAATGTTGGGATGCAATAAGTAATGGCCTCTATGGGTGTTGCTAGGGAGAGGGGGTGAACTGTTTCAAAATATGGCCTGTGTATATCCCATAGTTGCATTGCCATTTTGAGTTGTGTAGGCATGTGTGGGGTGTCTGGGCTAGTTATTTTGTCCAGCCATATCAAGTTAGTAGTGGTATAGGGTCTAATAGCTAAATTTTCCATTATCACCCACTGTGGCTATTAAGATGTGTTAATAGGGAAGTCAGCACTGCTGCGTGGTAGTAAGTTTTAACATTTCGGAATGCCATTCCACCTTTGTGTCTTGGGGCTGTCAGTATCTTGTTAGAAATTCTCACCCGCCCTGCTCCCCAGGTGAATTGTATCAGTTTCGAATGAATGGCTTTGAAATAGGATTGTGGTGTCTGTAGGGGAAGGTTTCTAAACAAGTATTATAGTTTCAGAATGATGGACATTTTGATTGCTATTATACATTCTGTCCATGTTAGGAATAGTTGTCCCCAGTTACGTAAAATGATTGTGCAGTCATTCAAACCCTGGAGTAATTAGTTGGGAACATGTCAGAGATGTTTCTATTAAATGTTAACCCTAGGTATTGTAGTTCGTTTCTCTGCCATTCAAATTGGTAGTCTTTATGAAGGTGTGCTAACACTTGTGGGTCTAAGCGGAGCCCCAACGCTTGAGTTTTGCTAGTGTTGAGGGATTAGTAAGACATGTTTCCGTATTCCTTGATTATCTGCATTATGTGGGGTAGGGACTTTTCAGGTTGGGAGATGTATAGGAGGATATCATCAGCGAATGCGCTTACTTTTATCTGTTGGCCATGCCAATTTATGCCACTTATGTCGGGGTGGGTTCTGATCGCCGTGAGCAGGGGTTCTAAGGCTAGCACATAGAGCAGGGGGGATAAAGGGCATCCCTGCCTCGTGCCGTTCGTGATCTGAAATAGGTCTGACTTGAAGCCTGTGTGATCCTTGTCTGCAGGTAGCACGGTCCTCTAGGGTAAACAACAGGCACAGTCCTTTGGTTTGCATATAATTCAGGCAGTTTTATTGTTAAACTCACACAGGAGAAAGCAGTAAATGAAACAAACAATAATGTAACAAAATCCCTAGAAACAAAAACCTAGCTCGTCTGAGCACTAACTAACTTCAGATTCCCTTTCTCTCAGGGGTTAAACTATAACAAAATAATACTGGTTTCACCAACCTAGTCTCTTTGTTAGCTCTCAGCACTCCAGTGTTTAGACAGCCTGCTGCTTCCAGCCCTTCAAGAGAGAAATAAACATTCTCTCTCTTTTCCGCACTCCCAGTGCTCCAAGCTAGCCTTGACTGCTTTTCTTTTGCACTCCCAGTGCTCAGTCTCCTTGCCTCTCGCCAACCTGCTTCCAGGAAGGAAGCCAGAAATCCCCCCTTTACCTGCATAGCAGGGAGGGGTTTATTCCCACTGCTACAGCTGGTTATCTGCAGCTGAGCAGTGGGTTGGAGACAGTTCCAAAAAAACTCTTGCCTGGACCTGATTTCTCCCAGTTGTGTATAAAATGAGGAGTGGAGCATTGGCCCACCCTACTCTCCAAATGCTCCACCCCAGTGGCCCATAACTAAATGGTGGTTTGTGTTGCCTACAACAAATACTACACATACTCCCCCTGGGGTTAAATGTTATAGGCATATCTGCCTTCACTTTATCACACCTGCTTGTAAGACCAATGCTGTAGGGTGTGAGTAGAGTGCGAATATTTGCCGGATGAGCTGTTGGGGGAAGTCATATGCAGCCAGTACCTGCCGGAAGAAGGTCCAGCCCAAGCGGTCAAATGCTTTTTCAGCGTCCAATGCCAGAAGTAGTCTGCCCGGGCCAGACCCCCTCAAATTTCTCCATCACCAAAGATAGTTTTCGAGTATTATCTAAACCCTGTCTCCCCACCACAAATCCCATCTGGTCGTCATTGAGTGAAGGGAGGATCGGGCCCAGTCTAGTGGCTATAATTTTTCCTTATTTTTTCGCGTCTGTATTTAGTAATGAGATGGGGTGGAAATTTTTACATTGGTTTGGGGGTTTCCCTGGCTTGGGCAAGGTAACAATTGTTGCCAAGAGCATCTCAGGTGGGAGTTCCCCAGTGTCTGTCGCTTTCTGGAATACCCGCACTAAGTG